GAAGTGGTATTTAGCTAGCCGCGAATATACACTTCTTGAGGTTGGCGTTCAACTTATCCTTGAGCATAAGATAAAGAACCTGACGAACGTGAGTTCTGTGAACGTCAACGTCTGTCTTTCCATTCATAGCCCGGCTATGGAAGAACACATCGTCAAAATAAGTCGGTGCGAAATCCCGCACCGGTCTCACCCGATTTCTTGCACATCTGTTGAATGTTGTAGGAGCGTTACCCAGCCCCTGTGACATCACTAGCCACTCCCAAAACATACCGTCGGGGGTGCTCACTGCCGTGTACGGGATGATTCGTTCACGCATAAGGATCTTATAGAAGTCATCCATCAGATCCATGGACGAGAAGATGGTACTCTTTGACATACCATCTATAATTACGTCATTCCTCGGTATCGGCGTCTGAGCCGCTACCGTTGCAGCATCAAATTGTTGACTGCGCGCACTATCCGCCATCCTCATGTGGCATTTCGCACAAAGAAGCTCAGAGAGCTGTGAGGGAAAGTGTATTCCGTCACCTGGCCTGCCGCTAAGCGATCGGTAAAGAACCTGTCGATCGCTTTCACCTGTTCCCGAGGCCGTGGTCACTGCTTCATGGCACAGTACTTCGATCCTGGCTTGAGCTCGATCTCGTATCAATTGCCTTTATCCTTAGGCAAATTGCAAGGTACAGATTAAGGAACTATATCCTTAAATTTAATCAAATCCTTATACAAAGGATTTGCCTGAAGTGACTTCCAGGATTGAGATTCATACATCTCAATCCAAGTCTTCTCATCGATGACGCTTTCGTCGATCTATGAGCTTGCTGAGAACCCGTTCGGTCTCAGTAAAAACTATTGCCGATCGAATATCGATGACGTACTCGTCTTCAGCGACGAGTACACAGATCTGCTTGACTTTGCCACTACTCAGATCACGCAAGAACCGTTTCGGTTCTAGTGTTGACAATTTAGTTATCTCCGAAGTTAACTTTGGAGGCACAATCATATCAATCTTGTGAGCGCCTAAGCTTGATCCGTCATTGACCAAGTCATTTACTGTCTCAATTACTTCCTGGGAAGTCACATCCACAGGATCCAGGAGAGCTTTGTCCACAATGCAGTGATCATCTACACTGTGTTCTTGTACAGTCGTACGTACTAACGACCATACCGCGAGTGATGCCATCGCACTCACTCGCAGTACACCCACATGAATTTGGGCGTTCCAAGCTATTTTTCAGGTCTTCATCTGATGAACAAGTGGCAGGCATTGTTCCTGATAGATCCTGCCAGCTCACCCTTTGGCTCGTACCTTCTGAGCCCAGGTAGTCCTAGGATCACTCGTCATCCAGATGGAGTACGACGATGTCACCATCGTACTGTTCACCTTTCAACATGTAGTGGATTCCGACTACACGTTTTGCAACGGTTATCGATGCGTCTGTCGCGAGGCGCACCGTCATCCTCGTTGGAGGGATGTCGCGCTCAACGAACTTGAGACTACGACCCTCTAGCGACTGGCGACGAACGAAATTGTTCGACGCCCCACAGTCAACTAGGGCGCAAAGTGACAATTCATTTGACACTTCCAATGTCAAGATGATGAGGGACACTTAATCACCAGGTGCAGAGACACACATAGACTGTGTGTCGGGAGAAAACTTCGTCAAAGGACTTGCGAATTCTCTGATGTTGCTGGATCAGTAAGGTGCTTTGCACCTACTGACCCGACCATTTTTGTGGTCCTTTTCGCTGTTGCGGCTTTGCAACAGTATCGGACCCTCGTCCTCTAGTTTCCCTGGCTGGTGGACGGTTACTACACTTAGCACCGCGAGGTTCTGAGCGGAGGATAGTGCATTCGCATGCATAGTGTCCCAGCTTGTGACAGCAATGACATCTCACCAAACGCTTGTCGTTCGCAGGGAGAGGTTTCTCGCCCTCGACATAATAGAGTTTTATTGTTTTTGGACATTCGACCGCTGGTCGTCTCTGTGGACGATAAGGAGTCAAGTGTGAGTCTGTACCACACTAAATTCTTCCTGCTCTGCAGCGTAGATTGATTCCGAGAGAAGAGCGCCTTATGCTTTCCGCGGATCAGGTGGTCCCTTACAAGACCATCTGCAAGTCCTTGAATGAATATTGTGATCAACACAATTCACTTAAAGGGTTCGCTACTATGCAGCTTGCAAGTTTACGCACATGTTGGGCGTAAGCGTGAACCTTACGCTTACCCTGTTTGAGTTTAAAAAGCTCTGACATAGTCATGAACTCTGCCCTGTGAGGCTAAAACGTTCTGCTGAGCAGGGTCTTGAAGATGTTCAACGACCCAAATACATTTGAGTTGTGCCACTTGAGGTTCAGGTCCCGATTCCTGGCATCCCCTACCAAGTATGAATGATTGTATGCAACTAGCATTCGCTCATCGTCGATACGAAGGCCTTGATGGAACCGTCTGCCTCGACGAACCATCTCAACCGGGAGTCTCCATCGACTCCCCGGTACTTGGAGATCGCCAGCTTTAGAGATTCCCATTGACGCTCACGCGTCGACTCTGTGCACTGAGACTGTTTTTGTCTCATAGTTCCAGTCCGCTGGTGGTCTTGTTGTTGCAACAAGGTCACCTGCACTCGTGACTCATCAAGTTCTCGTTGCACGAATTTGCTGATGACGGCATGCTGCTGGTCCCTATCCCTTGAGGATAGCATGGCCCAGATAGCTTCTTCGCCAACGGTCGAACTCATTCGTTCGAACGCACTCCATTCGACATCGCTCAAATAGGAGTAGGTTTTATGGGTTCCGTGAAAGCTGTCGCCTTCTTCATCGTCCAACATGTTCATGTTGGGCGATGTGGTTGCGGTCCTCGGACGGACTACAAAGTGCTACCATATGTAATGGGGCACCGACAACTCCGTACTGGTCTGCCAGCTTGGAGTTAGCTTTCACTGACAACAGTGAAGGTCAGTGCCCTGATATGTATTACACTGATACAGAGTAAGGTAAGCGACTGAGTTAAAGACTCTAGTCGTGGTAAAAGTAAAAAATGTTATTCAAAATAAATTAAGCCCTATGACTCTTGTTTCTCTGTTTGTCCTGACGTAATTATAAAATATAACTAAACTAAACGTATGATGACGTCTACTCACCACCCATTGCGCGCGTCCAGCAGCGATTTGTGGGTTGGTATAAAACACAATACCGACCAATGAGTATACACTTTGTATCATCTCAACAATGCCACTGTATTCAGTGATATTGTTAAAAGAATATTCAGTGTTATTCTCTATTGCTATTTTATTCTTGATGAAAATGTCATGTAACGGGATACCCCGTTACACTTACGTGAGATTTCGAATCTGATCACAGAGCCAAATTGAAGAACAGCTAGTACAAAGTTCTGCTCCAGATGATAGAGCAATTCGTCGACAGTCGTGATTTTCCTTCGCGATCAGACGAACCACTCTGCTGAAGTGCCGTTGATCACGCTCCCAATCGTAGGTACCATCGTTGTAGCCATCGTTTCATTCTTCCAGTTAACAAAGTCCACTATGCAATACTGCTGCACTTGTTCCTGAAACAGAGCAAACGATTTTTGCACTTGTACTCCGTAACGTGGTGTCTTCACCGCGTCCAGTCTTAAGTGTATAGTGTCGTTTCCTCTGCCATCTTCCGCATCATCAACTTGAGCATATTTGCCATGAGCTCCGCGTTTGAGGACACGTTCATAGCTACCCAAACAAATTGCGAAGCTGTCTGCTCCGCAAGTTTGAAGTTTGCGTCGATTATAATTGAGGTCGAAGTTATACGGGATAGGGGTTCGGGTCGTGTCGTGTCGTGTCATGTCTAATTCGAGGTCTGGGTCTGATGTACAGGTCAAATGACCAACAAGTGCTACCAGATGTGACGTTTAGCGAGGAATTTAAACAGTGAGTACATTAAGGTCCTTAGTTCACACTTCGATGTTAGTCTAAGCCTACTGAAGCATACATGGGTTCTCTTTAGGACCCGTAACGACTTCATGACTAGCGTACTTTCTTGATATTGTAACGGATGCTTGAGCTGATATTTTGCCGTGAACCGTCACGTCGTCAGCCGTCAAGCCAAGTCCTACAAGTTGTACTTGCAGACTCACCGATCAACGCCTACGTCAAAGACCCAAAGAGTGCCTATCATCGAAGCTGCACGAACTTCACTCGCGCTCTAAGTGAAAAGAATCAGCTGACAAGCATTGCCCCGTCTTTTGGGACTTCTTACCATGCATCGCAAATCGATCTGCAGGGGTCCATCGACTCGACTAGAACTTAGTATCGCTCATTCACGTGCTGCAGCGTTTCGTTCGCTCATTCAGTCGTACAATTTTTGTACGCGAGGAACGTGTGTATCTATTACCTCATGTGGATGTCGCCGTTGATTCGATCTTGTCCATCAGAAAGTGGCCCATCTACTTGACCTTTCATGCCGCTTTCTACTCCCAATAGTGTTTATTTAAGTGGGCGAATCCACGTTTGAAATGAGCGCTGCAAGTCTGGTGGTTTCAAAGCTTGGGCGGCATCAACAGGAAGCTTTTACCGTAAAGTTCCTGTGACAACTTGTTCACTGGCACCCGCCAAACAACTACGACTGCACGGATGGCGATGACCAAATTGCTGTATGCAGAAGACACCTTACTGAACCATTATCGTCATATTGTTAGTCTACTTTGTCGTCGACTTGCGCGAATGCAGTCGGTGCACATTGACGAGCAACTAGTGCCAACCACATTTGACTCGGTCCCACAACTGTTTCGGTATGATTCGGGTGAAGGAGGTTGGCCAGCGTGACAACAAGCAGCTCTTCTCGTGTTCGGTCCAGCCCAAACACACTTTGACAAACGAAATGCGCGAGACCATGTTCACCGCAGCACAAATGCGGTAGCTAGAGCGCCATGCACACAAGAACAAGTCTCGTTCGACAAATATCAAAACCTGTCGATAGAGCAGCAGTATCCGAGAAACGAACGGCTTGGTGCATTAGCTACTTGTGCTCCGGCACGGCGAACTTGTTGGGCTACCTCCATTCTCCAAGTAAAAGATACTCTCATCTTTGTACTTCAGCTGGCTGTAGTGCTCCTTCGATATCGCCACCACCCTCCTCTTTACCTGAGACGATGATATGTCCAGCACTTTTACGGGAGTCTTCGAAAGTTCAGGGTCGTATGGCTCACTGCTCAACAACGTGTCAATGACATATGGTCAGCAACACGTGCAGTTTTTGGCAACCACATCGTGCGTCGTACCGTTTCAGCATGCCCACACGAAGCATGATGCGACCTTCATTGCAATCCTTCCGCCTTGACTGCGAGTCCACATCGCTGCAGTCGATTACGTAGATGCTGAGAATCTCACAGACCGAAAAAAGGAGGTAGTGATCAGCTGTGCTGCACGCGATATCCGCCAAGACCAGCTCCCCCGTGTACAGCTTTAGCGTGGTGCTGCAACATAGAAAGCGATGAGTCAAACCAACACGAGAGCAGCAAGAACAGAGTCGTGAACATACTTGTCGCTGTCGCCGATCTCGGTGCTTGCGGCAAACAATTCTCCTCTACCGACGCGGAGTGGCTCAAAGAAGGGCTTTCGTGGATCCACAAGTCGCTAAATTGGTCAAAGTCAGTATCCCATGAGACACAGCAGCCAGCTTTCAACGCAGTTGCTAGCGCGCACCTGGAGGATCACGCACTCGGTCACCCATTGGAAGCCTTTGACTGGGACACCTTTCGTTTTCTTATAATATCGACACGTCTGCATTGATCCGCACATGGGATGCGCAATCACGTGAGCGAAAATGCACTGATGACAACAGACGTATTCGCTATCAGTAATGCTTACCGGTGTATACTCGTCGCACAATACCACATCTATGTCGCTGGTGTCTTTGGCGGTCAAATTCTACATACATGGTGTGAGAAGATTCAATCGTTATCGAGCGGATAAAGCACCCACCTCGTAGACAGCTTTTGCGCCACAAGCCTTCAGAATAAATGCTATCAGATTCATCTTGTCTTTCGCCTCCGATTTAGATAGTTGCGCAACATCGCTGGCAATACCAAAATTATAGCCTTCGAAGATGTAAAGCTGATCCAACACAAGTAACAGAGTCGTCAGCAAGCGCCTTATCACATCCGAAACACTAGCACGTACGTGTCTAGGGGGCAAACACTCGAATTTGCGAGTAGTCACAGAATAGCCTGTCGGAACTTGGTACCCATCAAATGGTATCACACATCCTTTTTCGATGCAATCCTTGATCCAATCCGTATGGACAACAGGGATCCCACAGGCAACGGCTTGCATAAACTTGCGCTTGCGCCACGATACAGGTGTAGCGATGACCACCGCCCTCAGGTTGCCTTTGAACAGGACGTCCTGGTAGCGCTCTGGGATTCTACCTCCGTGCCCTTCAATCAGCTCTTTCAAATTCTCTTCACCGCTCTTCACGAAGCCTGTCAAACAAAACTCAAATTTGTACTTGAAGAGAGTTCGAGATCGTGACGCATATACACGTTGAGAGGGTACTGGCGACAAAACTCGTGTCCGTGTCCGGGCTTTCGGAGTCGACGATGGCGTCGACTGCGTCGATCGAGTACAACGTCGTGCAAGAGACTGTGGAGTCCGTGGATCGCTGCGACCATTCTCGGTCAACGGCCCGTTGCCAGGAGAAGAGGAAATGCCGCGCTTTCGTTTCTTCATTACCGGAGTGAACGTGTTCTGGCTCGAATGATCGACAACTTGTACCAAGCATTCCAGTTTTTCCATGCCACTCGATAAATCAGACGTCGACGAGGACATACCGTTGGAGCTCGCTTGACTGGCGACAGCAACATCAGGGGCAGTGACTTCGTCCGTTGGTGTAGGCGTAGATGCTGGCTGATATATTGGGCTAGCGGATGACTGAAAAATGCGGGGCTTGTCACTTCCAGATAGGACTTCAAGCCTCTCAGCCACAAGTGTACCTTCACCACACAGACTCGCGCTCAAATGATGCTCGCCTTCCTGTGAGCTAGGCATAGAACCGGAGAATTGAAGGCTGCGAATAGCTTTGGCATGATGATCGGTCCCGGCAATATGCTCTCTTGTCACTGGCTCGTCAATCTCCTCCACATCTTGTGGAGAAGCAAAGCCACGTTCGCTTACGGAGTCATCGCCAGTCTGAATGCTGCTAGGCTGCGTGGGCATACACTCGTCTTCATCACCTTCATTTTCGAGCACCTTCGACTCCAGCTCCACAGTTCCCCACGCCCCGCCGACAACGACTGATACATCGCTTGGCTCAGATTGACCAAAGCTGACTACTGGCGTTGAACGCTCTAGCAGCATAGCTTGCACTCCTACTCGGCTGGTCACCTTACTTTCAACACTCCGCTGCCCAGTCAATTGATCAGGCACGATGATATTGGCTAAGCGTTCTTGACTGCGAGCACAATCTGTAGCCTCTCTTCGCTCGCCGCTTGTCTTTTCAGGCAGCACTTTCTCATGAAAAGCGAATTCTGCGCCATCAAGCAATGCTGCAGGTCTTGATAGTGTGTGCACTTCCGTCTCCACATTGGAACATGCTGCATGGTTTCGAGTTTCTTCCGCATCAACATATGCCTCTTCCAGTGGCTGTGTGCAGTCCATCTCATCGTCGCCATCCGCCTCTCGAAAACTACCTCGAGCAACGACACTCTCTTCAGTCTCCTCCAAACTCCCAGCCGCCACGGTATTCTCTCCCGATTGACGCACAACCGCATCATTCGATGCAAGCGCAGTCTGAAAAGTCTTTCTCGATGACAAAGGATCGCTGTACCGCGAACACACCTGTATTGCGTCGTCCACAACACACTGCTGCTCCTTCTCTCGACTCTGCTGTTCAAGCTGCTGACCCGGCACTCGCTCACAACCCTCGGCCACGTTTTGATTTTGAGTTTGTCGTGCAATCTCTGTAGACATTACGGGTGAGCTCACCCATCTCTGGTCCTTAGTGCACGCCAACAACTCGTCATCACGACGACCGCCACTCTGCACCTTCTGCTCGCCTGCAGCTACTAAAACAGAGACGCTCACCACGTCCTCATCCACCTGCGTATCGGCGGCAAACAAGTCGTCACTAAGTGCATCGACACTCGACGAACGCCGAACACGTCGACAGCTGCCATCGTCTCGCGTGGCGTCATCATTAGCCGCCACGTCCATGTCCAGCACGAGCTTCAGCGAGCATTTGTCTTGTTTCTGTGCTGCTGCAGTGTTCGTACGACCCGTAGCCGCGATGTTGTCAGTGTTAGGGGACACGTGATAGCCGAGAAAAGCATTTGGGTCGGCGCTGCACTGCTGCGACTCGACAAAGCTCTCACTCGGGTGCTGAGATGGACTCTTTGGCTGCACGAACGACAGGTCGGAGGCGACACCGGCGCTTGGGGAAGACGCTGACGCCCACGACGTGGAGACTCCATCCATTAGTCTGTCTCGGCACCGTTTCTTTTGGTAGTCGCTGCGAGTTGTGTGTGTGTGTGTGTATGTGTGCGGTCAATTTAGAAATGATGAGCGTTTCGATGCGTTGCGGAACAGGTCTTAACAGAACGAAACGCAGGCGAAAGAAATGGACGGAATGAATGAACAAACTACTACGTACTGAGCCTGATGTGCACCTCTTTTTGTGTTTTTTATCCTCCCGTGCCGGCCGGCGATGAGGAAAAACCTTTTTTTCCCGCTGCTGTCGTGCAAGCGATGGACAAAAAGAGCTTTGTTTGGTCGAGCAAAAGCAGCTCGTGTGTGTAAATGGTTTTGATCATATTCAGCATGGACTATCTGATTCTGCAGGTAGACACACGATTTTACGTCCATTCGGTGCGTGTGAGAGACATTTGGATCATTTCCATACTGGCGAAAGCTGCAGCTCAATATGACTGAAATTGCTCGCAGGATATCATTCACGTTGTCATTCGACATCGTTGCCACGTCAGACTTCAATCTTCGCACTCAGAAATATGGAATAAACCGAAATGTGGGCACTGACATTGGTTTCACTCAGTCCCATCTCACAAGCTACCCTGACATCCCACGGATACCCACAAACGATTATCTTGTTACATGCCCGTCCGGGCATTCCAATATACATACTACTTCTTAGACCACCAAACCGCAACCTTTGTAAGCCAAGAGACATCCTTGCATTATACGAGCGATCAGGTTAGGTCAATAACGGTAAATTTTGAGGCATGCGCAGCCACTACAAAAAAGCACATAAAACATAAGCAGGCTTCATCGGTTCTAAATAGCGAATGCACTGCGGCGCTTAATCCTGCTGATACGTGGAAGGTTGGACCGATTCAGCCAAGAAGTAACTGATCTACTATGGAACTGATCCAAAGGCTCCTGTGGTTTACGCATTTTATGCGTATGTACGCTTCATTACAAAAGTACACAAGCATTACAGGCAGTAATTGCACTAAGCTTGTCTTACCTTTTACACAAAGCGCTAACTCCAACACTATTGTGTGGCCAAATTGAGCCGAATTTATCCCCGTTGCACCTAATAGATCTTTGAAGTCCTTCCAATGTCCAAACACAAGATAAAAATGTACAAAATGGTCCGCGAGCTAGCCGAAGCGAAAGTGTATAGACTTTGGCATCATAGAATTAGTCGGCAATCTCCACCAATAATGTGTCAGGTCGGGATTTAGCCGAAGCGCGATCCGTTCTACCGTTGAAGAAATTGCTTGATCACTTAGCCACAGCACAAAGTGGCAACGTGACAGTTGCCTGGTGCCAGACATACGCTCTTACACTGTAATCGGATCCTGATTCTTATAACTATTTATATGCGGTAATTAATCGCACCTGAAACGTACTACTATGTAAGGTATTCCTAACCATTATTCAGATCCCGAGAAGCTATGCTATCAATACGCTTGCGTGAGGTGGCAGCCGGTGTATTGGCAGCCAATGTCGAAGCACTTTTGAAAGCCGCACTAGCCTTATCGTGCTCGACCTCTTACTTGCGATGTGATAGGCATAATATTCGTGGGTATATTGCGCATAAGCTCACACATATCAGGCTTATGTACTGCACATATGTATGCTCCCATTAACATACAGAAACGCAAACGTAGTCATGCATTGCCGAATCAACTACAAAGAGCGATCATGCATTTATTCTTTACCATTTGGAGCTTGCAAAGGCGTTCTGGCGTCGTCGTCACCGCAACATAAACAGCAACACTACAAACGATACAGAAACACCATTATAAGCAAAATCATCAGATTTTATGGCTACTTATACGGCGGTATTCACAAAATATCTGATACTGATGCCTGATGATATGTCAGAGGTGTATCAAATATCAAGTAGCAAATGTAGTCGACAGGATAGACGCTATGCACAAATCTTCACGATTGGAGTCCATTCTTAGACAACTATTGCAATGGAATGCTAGCTTGGATGATGCATTAGTATTGAGATAGGTATCAATGACAGTCTCATCCTACAGCCTGACATCCGCCCGCAATGTCCAGCTAATGTATCTAAATTAGCTGAGTATATGGACTGACACCTATGGTGGACACAGAATCGTCAATATGCCGATAAAATTGAGATATCAGAATAATTTTGGACGCTGTAACCTTGTGGTAGTGAACCTAGTGAAGCTCATTGACTCTCACTCTTGTTCTGTGGCGTTTCTATGAGCTATTTAAGCTCATCACTTGGTATTCATTCCGTGCATGTATGACGACTTCTCAATGCTATAGTCTCTTGAGCCACATCTGCGGAAGAGCGTGTTCTGAGTGTCTTGACGGGGCCTAAAGTTGCTTTTCACCAGCACCATCCAATTATCGTGAGAAAGCCCATCGTATGATGCTTAGTCCAAAGTAAATGTAATGATATACCCTGTGTGGCATTTACTTACTAGAGCGAGCATCTTATCTTGCGTCTGTCTCTTATAAAGTTTATGTCACACATATAAAGCTTCCTTTTGTGCCTTGAGGAAAGTGCCTGGACAAAAAAGATATCGATATGTTCAATACAGTCAATGTGTGTTTATTTGTCCCTGAGCTCAGCCAAACTGCGGTACCAAGACGCTTTGATGTCGAGTTGTGTATATGTTTCAAAAATCTATATCAGTCTTGATGTCAACAGAAACATACAAATCCGACTCTATGTTATACCTATAATTAAATTGGGCGAATAAAAATGCTGAAATTGGGAGAATAAAAATGCTCATTTAATCACGAAAATAAAAAATGCCCCAGATCATTGTAAATTGAACAAATGTGCCCAAAATAATTGGAAAAAAATAAATGCCCACGTCCTAGTATACTCAAGTTTATGTGGCACGTATAAAATCATACGTCTTCAATCATTTTTTTTCATTTTACGGCCGTGACCAACCCCGTCCCTGTTACGGAAGCCGCTGAGAGGATTCTTTCGCGGGTGTACTGCGCTTACATCCACCAGTTGCAGGCGCAGATACGAGATATGAGGACGTAAACGCGTTTTCGTATCATCGGTCGCGGTCGTAAACATAGTCAGTCGGTTCTAATGTTGTCGATACTGGTGTTATTGTTTTTGTAACTATTGTTTCAGTTGCTATTGTTAACGTTGCTGCTGCAGTTGTTGTTGTAGGTGCTGCGGTTGCAATTTATGTTGTTCTACTTGTGAATTCGCAGTTCTGCGCTTACCCGCGCATATACGTCAACGTGGCCCTTCGCCTTTCCACAGCGAACGACGTTACAGTCCCGTGTCGGCGACACGAGTCAGCGGGCGACGCCGACGCTCACCGAGTCCGTTTCGACGACGGCGGATTTTGAGTCGCAGTCAGAGCTGGAGTCGTGGACGAAGACGTCGGAGCTTGATTTGCAGTCGCAGCAACCGAATCAGCCGCAACTGACGAGTTAGTCGCGTGTAGAAGCAGGTAAAGGCACGAGATGCAGTTGATGCAGTGGATGGAGCCGCGTTCACCGACTCCCGCAACAACCGCGTGCTAATACTCAATGACGAATAGTGTACGTGTGTGTGTATCTAGAAGAAGACGAGTGTGGTGCTGCTCCTACCGAGCAGCGTTTGTCACCAGTAAGACGGTTTGTCAAAACGATGGGATTGGAGCAACTTGCACTCTTAATTGCCAGCACCTACTGTGAGGGGCTTTAGTAGGTTCCATCGTGCATATACAAATTGCGGTAAGAACCATCGTTCCCAGAAGTGGAACTTGTGTCGATGTGCTGCGCTTACGTTGATCAAAGTGTGGCTGCATCGTGACATAAACTTGAGTAAACTAGGGATTGGGGCATTTTGTTTTCAATTATCTAAGGCAAAAACTTTATTTTAGTGATTGAATGGGGCACTTTTTAGGGGGCCGCTAAGTAGCCTTCAGTTTTCGCTAATGAGCCTTCACCCATACATTCAACAAGTTGTTGGGATTGAAGGTCTCTACATTTTAAAATTGTATTGGCTTATTTTCAAAAAAAATAACGTTTATGCGTCTCATACCATCTAGTCAATCGGACATGTGACAACCTTCCTTTAAAGCCATATGAAAGGCCTCAATCAGCTTACAGAAGAGATAATTGATTCTGTGGAATAAGCCCGCCACGCGCTTGACGAGCTAACACTACCGGAAGGCTATCTTACAACTATCAAAAGGAAACAAAGGGTGGGTACCGCAAGGACGGTGAGGTCAAAGCAGTGGATCTGCAATGCTCATGAAACGGCCGTCGACCTTTTTCTGGTACATATTCAGGTAAAGCGCCTCTTCTTCAGCGCATTGGCTACAGCCGCGCCACTGCCTGCTCCTTCTCGGTCTCGATCACACGAAAGCGACGTCAAGAATAACCAGACCAGTGGAAATTAAAAGTCACTCGTCGAGAGCATAACATGATCCCTTTGTATATATCAAGGTGCATCCACGTGTGCGTCCTCTGAAGGAAAAACAAGAGCAATAGGTGATTGCGAGTCTGCGTGCAGGCATCAGACCTGGTCGCATCGTTGCCTCCCTTCGGCGATCTGATATTGTGTGTGTTATTGCACGCGACATATAAAACGCTTGCGCAAACGAGCGCCGCAGATTGATAGGATGAAGGTCTCCGCTTACACAATTGCTCAAAAGTCTAGCAACAAGTAATGAAAAAAGCAACAGTGCGCCGTACTACGCGAAATTTAATGCTGAGCAGCAGCTCACGCACCTATTTGTCCTGTCTACCTTTGCCAGGGAAATCACTGCCTGTTTCAGCGCAAGTCGAATATTTTTGATTGACGCCACGCTCAAGACGAATTGATTTCGACTACCTCCGCTGCACATTGTGGGCGTAACTGCAACCAACAACAGCTACACTTTCGCCTATTGCTTTATGAGGAACAATACAAAAGGCGACTACATCTATGCGATGCAGAACCTGAGGCGGGTATTCGGGATGTTCGACATCGCTACAATAAAAACACTCGTTGTTGATCGCGAGATGGC